CGCAGCTCGGCAGCACGGCGGTGTCGCAGCGTCCTGCCGCCGCCGCCGCGCTGCCCCCCCGGGCACGGCGGCGGCGGCAGCAAGCTTGGGCCCAAACGCCGTGCCGCCGAGTCCCGTGGCTGCGACCGTAGACCGTGGGCCGGAAACTGCGGCCGCAGCTCGGCGGCACGTGGTTCTGGTCAAATCGCCAAGCGTGCAGCAGCGCCGAACCACGCTTCCCGGCCTCGGCGCATGCCTTCAGGGGCCCCCTATCGCTGGGCACACCCCTCCAACACCGAACATGCGCCCGGGGGGGAGGGCGGCCCGGGCTGCCCAGGCCAAAGTGGGCCGCCCTCGAGCAAGAGGCGGCCGGGCTGTGTGCTGAATGAATGAATGAATGAATGCTCCGCGGGCACGAGCAAACAGCCCACGCCCACACGCGTGGTCTTTCTTTCTTTTCTTTCCGGGCACACCTACCTGTACTAGATGTTCATGTACACAGTCTGCATATCCCAAAGGAGTGTGCGACGCAACGTGTGGCCGCGGGGAGCCTGCAATCGCCTGCACCCAGCGCCAGCCATCCCCACCCGCCACCCATCACGTTGCTCCCTCTGTGTGCAACCGTGTCGGGTGGTCCAGTTGCCTGGGAGGTGGGCGCGCCAGTTCAGGTTTTGACTACCGTGTCAGTGCCAGTTGTCCCGTTGCAGGCGGCGGCTTCTACAAGATCGACCTCACCCTGGAGCCCCCCTCCGACGATGGCGCCATGTATGTGGGTGAGTGAGCAGCATTGGCTTGCAACAGACAGCATGCCGGACGCGCAGAGAACGTGCGCCTATGGGCACCTTCCCATGGCTGACGTTGGTGTTAACGCTGCTCTGCTGGAAGCAACGGTACGCATCCATTCATTCATTCAGCACACAGACCGGCCGCCTCTTGCTCGAGGGCGGCCCACTTTGGCCTGGGCAGCCCGGGCCGCCCTCCCCCCCGGGCGCATGTTCGGTGTTGGAGGGGTGTGCCCAGCGATAGGGGGCCCCTGAAGGCATGCGCCGAGGCCGGGAAGCGTGGTTCGGCGCTGCTGCACGCTTGGCGATTTGAACAGAACCACGTGCCGCCGAGCTGCGGCCGCAGTTTCCGGCCCACGGTCTACGGTCGCAGCCACGGGACTCGGCGGCACGGCGTTTGGGCCCAAGCTTGCTGCCGCCGCCGCCGTGCCCGGGGGGGCAGCGCGGCGGCGGCGGGGGCACGCTGCGACGCCCCCGTGCTGCCGAGTTGCGGCCGTAGTTTCCTGCCAGAAGCCCACGGCCACAGCCACGGGACTCGGCGGCACGGCGTTTCGGTCCACGGCTTGCTGCCGCCGCCGTCGCAGGGGTGCTGCCTGCGGCGGCGGCGGCACGGCGTTTGGGTCCACGGCTTGCTGCCGCTGCCGCCGCCGCAGGGGTGCTGCCTGCGGCGGCGGCGGTAGCGCACGTGGCAACCCCCCGCGTTTCCTTGCCTCCCATCCACCGGACCCCGTCCTGCGCTTCACTTTGTTTAGGGAGGGGCTGCTCACTGCTCATTGCTCATTGCTCATCGCACACTGCTCAACGCTCATTGCCCTATATCCCACCCAGCCGCAGGACTCCACTGCCGCCCGCGCCCCGCCCCATCTGGCCGCTTGCGCGCCCCATCCCCCCTCGATGGGGCCCGCCCACACCGGGGCCTCCCCCCTCCCGCCCACTGCTTTCTCAACGGCCCCGAGCCGGGGCTGCCCTCATTGCATACATAGTGCGCCTTTCCCTGCTTTTCTAGTGACCTAGCGTTCCGCACTGCCGTTTGGCCAGCCCATGCTCCCGTACCGTTGCGTTTCTCCCCAATGCGCCATGCCACTTTGCCAGTCATACACACGTTTCGATGCGTGCCCTGTCAGCTGCTTGCGTTGCATGTCGCCTTGCTCCACCCCTGTTTTATTGTTTTCTCTGCTTTCGCCCGGTTCCCGTCCCGTTTCGGCGGGGAGTCTATGTTGCAAGCTAGTTCTTGCTTTACCAGACTTTAAGCCCACACAAGCAAGTACAGGCTGTGCTGCCCCCTTCAACCTGGGCACATGTTCATGCCGCGCACCAGTGTGTTGCACTCTGTCCTCCGACATTCAATTGTTGTTGTGTTGGCCTTCTACAGCCATCAGTGACTGGGAAGTGACGATCACTCCCAGTCGGCCCAGCTTTCCGGCGATCAGCTTCACCGAGTCGCCATTCTTTCAGGTCAGCCGCAGGGCGCCGGTACCAGTACCACGCCGCGCCCCTGAAGGCGGCTGGCTTGCGGCACCTCCAAGCAAAGGCAGCTCCCCACCGCCGATGCTTGCCTCCTGCATCCCCGTCCCTCCCCTCCTGGGCAGAGCAAGAAGCAAAACATCGAGGGCTTTGCCTGCGGCACCACCTACACCATCGCCACCCGAGCCAAGAACTACGCAGGCTTCTGGTGCGGCGCTGCCGCCGCAGATGTTCCCGCCGCCGGTGCTGGTGCATGGAGTGGGGATGCGCTGCTGGTCGGCACTGCGACGCTGCATCCCCCGCACCCACCCACCCACCCACCCTTCCTCTCCAGGTCGGAGCTCAGCTATTACAACTACACGACCCCAGCCTGGTTAGCTGGGGCATGTGGCGTGCAGGGGCAGCATGCAGTGGTGCCGCGCCGCGCCGCGCCGCGCTGTGGTGGCGCCAGACCTCAGCGCACACGCTGTGTGCTGCGCTTCGCCCAGGGCCGTGTGCGCTTTAAAGCGCATGCAACGTTGCCACGCTCTCTCTGCCCCCAGCTCTGTGCCCAGGCTCACCCTGGCAGGCCGGCACGGCGCCCATTGTCCTAGCCCCCTACCCGGCACCGCTCGGGCCGTCATGCCCAAGTTTCTTCCTCCCCCCCATCCACTCGCTGCTTTCTTCCCTCCCCCGCGCCGCAGCCCATCCAACCCCGAGTGCACATACGACCTGGCCACTGCCACCGGCAACACCACCTCGCGTGCGGTCGGTCCCATCGCCTCTATCTCGCCCCCCAACTGCCCCACCCTGCTCCTCACCAACCCAGTGTCCACGAACGACGGCTGCTCCGAGGACCCTGCACTGCTCGTCAATGCAGCGGGCGTGGCACTCTCGGCGACCTCGGCCTGCGTGCCAGCAGCCGGGCGGGCCAACGGCCTCACTCTGGCAGCAGCCCCCGGCTCGGAGGCCGTCACCATGCGCTCCTTTCAGGTTGGCAGTACCGTTGGCCATGCACGGCCCTGGCAGCGGCCGCCAGCCAACCAGCTGCAGCGTGGCCGGCGGCGCTGGAGCCCGGCAGGAAGCGGCAGGCGGTGCGCACACACCACCACACCCACCCACCGCCCCCTCGCTCCCCCCTCTCCCCTGCCCCTTTGCAGGTCGGCGCCTCGAGGCTCCGAGGCCCCGAGGCCCTCGAGGCCCCGAGCTCGGGCCCCACCCTCGTCCTGGGAGCGCAGATCACGTGGGCCTTCGTGGATGTGGACAGCGGCGATGTTGCCACTGCCACCATTCCCGCCGCCACTCTCGCCTCTGCAGAGCAGCGGCTGGATGTCGTGTTTGACAGCGCACCCTCCCCCACCGTGCCCGTGACCGACGCCAGCGCCCTGCAAGTCGGCGTGGCAGCGGATTTCGGGGTGGGCGGGGATGGCGACGCGTGGCAGGTGCGATAAGAGGACGCGTGGCGGCGCTGGCCTCGGCGTGTGCGCGCTTGCAGCCTGGTTTCAGCAATAACAAGCTTGCAGGACAGATGTTGTGGGTCAGAGTAGTGGTCAGGCCCTTCCGCCGGCGGCGGTCCCTTGTGTTTTGCAGGGTCCTTGCAGCGACCTTGCTGCTGCTCTTCTGGCACCACTGCAGCTGCTGGTCTCCCTGGCAACCCTGGCCTGCCGGTGCCGCAACCCTCCATACCCTCCCCCTCCCCGCTCCCTGCCTTGCAGTCCATCCGCTACCTGCGCACCTGGCTGCCTACTGACTGCACATGGTCCATGGTCTATGCCAGACCCAGCACTCCCGTGTCGGGCGGCCAGCCATACTGCTCGACAATGGAGGTAGGCCTCGGGCCCGCGCCGATCCATGTCCTGCCGCTCCCTGCAGCCATAGCCAGCCTGGGACCGACAGCCGCCCCCGGACAGTGGCCTGGAAGCCGCCCTCGGAAACGGGCCGGACAGGGGTCCAAAAGCCAGGAGGGCGCTACAGACACCAAGACCAATGCGCATGCCCTGCCGCTCGCCTGCCCCACCTCGGAAGTCTGGCGCTTTGGGGGGTGAACGGTGCACACCTATGCTGTGCACGGTCTAACCTTCGCACCCTGCCAACCCCGCCCCGGATGCCGCAGCTGGGAGGTCTGGACCGCGAGGGCTGCACCCCGCCCGACCCCGACGAGTTCTACTCCCTCTTTGCGGAGGCCAGCGACTCGGGAGTGAAGCTGACCCTCCACTCCGTCTGCAACTGGCAGTGGGGCATCTACGGCGCAAATGTGTACAGCCTGACGGTGAGCGCCATGCAGCTGCAGGCGGCCTGCAGGCGGCGCTCCCGCTGCTCCCGCGCAGGGAGAGCTGCACAGCAGACGGCGGCGGCGAGGCTCGGCGCCCGCTGTCGCGTGCCGTGGCCAGCCGGGGATTTCTTTTGGAGTGCCACGCCTCGCATGCCTCCTGCCTGCAGCGAGCCAGGCACCTGTGCTCACCGCCGCCGTCTCATCCCACCTTCCTGCAGCCCTCTGGTATCGATATGCTCATCAGCAGCATCGACGTCGGCGTTGTGGGCGCCAGCGTGGATGTCGCCCGGCCAATCATGCTCAGCGTGGCTTCGGGCCAGCTCCCCCCCCAGAACTTTACCATCCCCGCCAACACCCTGGCCAAGGGCCAGAGCTGCTGTGTCACCCAGCCCGTCGCGCTGAGCGGCGGGCTGCTGCTGCTGGAGGGGCAGCCCGCTTTCTTCAGGTGGTTTGCCGAGGTGGTGGACACCAATGAATTGGAGTCATATATCCACCTCAAGGCGCTCAAGCCCTGAAGGGATCCTCCACCCTTTGCGTTGCCGCCAGCGCGGCCGCCGGCAGGGTCGGCAGGGCTCCAAGCCAGGCAGCTGCGCCGCGCCGGCACCGTTCCACCAAGCGCCTGCTCTCTACGCCACCTCGCCCCTTAGATGCCACGCCGCCTGGTGTGGGCTGGCCTGCGCCGTGCCAACACACAAGCAACGCATCTCTCTAATCTTCCTGATCTCCCACCTGCGACCATCACCCTTCTTCTGATACGCGTGCCCAACGCGACCACCTCAGCGAACGACCTCCTTGACTTGCCAAGCTAGATAAATGCGCATATGTAACCAGAATGCAGCCGTGCACACAGGCAATGGACCCAAGGGCAAAAGGGACCGAAGGCCGCTGCCCGCCGCCTGGCGGTGCGTCGCGTCGCTGACGTGGCGGCCGGTAGCTGACGTGGCGGCCGCCCAACTCCTACATTTGCCGAGGCGCCTCCTGCTCGCATATCAGACCGGCTATACCATCCACTATTTCCATGGCAAAGCGCAAGGCATCGGCGGCAGTGGAGGGCGGCCAGCAGCAAGCCGCCAAGCAGCAGCGCAAGCAGCGGAAACAGCAGGTAGATGCGGTGGAGGGCGATGGACCTTCCTCAAGCGGCGCGGTGGTGATAGCCGGCACGGCAGGCGGCTGGAAGAACAAGGAAAAGGTGCTGCTCCTCAGCTCGCGGGGCATCACATACCGGTGAGGGGCGGCGGGTCGTGTGCAGGTGCTGGGGACGCGTGGGGAGGACCCCGCGGTAGCAACACATGCCTGGGCGCCCGCCGCCCGCCGCCGCCGCTGCCAGTGAAGCTCCTTTCTCCGCTTCTCTTGCGCTTCTCTTGCCGTGTGCGGGCTCTCTTCTCCGCCGGCCATGTCTCGGTCATGCTGTGGCTATATTGCTGCCACCCTTACCATGCCGGTGCTGCTGCGCTGACCCCGCTTGGGGCCCTCTCTGTCCCCGCCTCGCCGCCGCCCTCCACCCCCGCGGCCGCCGCCTCCCCCGCCGCCGCGTCCACGCCCCGCCCCCCTCACGCCGTGCCCCTGCCACCTTCCTCGCAGCTTCCGCCACCTCATGCTGGACCTGGGGCAGCTGCTCCCGCACGGCAAGCGGGACGCCAAGCTGGACACCAAAAGCGAGCGGGGGGTGATCAACGAGGTAGCCGACATGAAGGTGGGCGGTACCGCCTGCGCGGCGGCGGCAGTTGCCTGCTTGCGGGGCCGCTGCGGGGGAGGCTGGGGCAGGGGAGGGCGGGGGAGGGCACGCACGGCAGCATGCGTGGCGGCAGGCGTGGTGGTGGCTGTGTGTGGTGGCGGTGGTGGTGGGTGCTGGCTTGAGGCCAGGTGGGTGCGTGCCACGCGAGGCTGTGTGGTGGGCGGGCAGAAGGGTGGTGCGTGGAGGTGTGTGTGTGTGTG